AGACGGCAGCACGGCTACGAGCACAAAACAGGTCATTTTCCCATGTAAATCTCCATAAGACATTCTAAGGTCCATTCTGCTCATTTTTGGCTCATTTTGTGGTGGAGGCGCGACGGCTCATCGGATCGTGACGTAACAGGGCTCTAATTACTATTTAACTGAGAATAAGCCACAATTAAAGATAAAAATACGTTTATTGACGTTTCAATTTCCACTTCGGAATCGTTCTCAAAATACAAACAGTAAATTAAACAAATTTTGTTTTTTGTTACATAGTGAAAAATTCTTCTAATAATTTAATTTTATCTGACTCATTTATATTGACAATTCAGACATACATTATGCATTTTAAAGTAGACGACTTAAAATGATATTGCCAATATTGTTGAGTTGCGCTCCTGGGACGACTTTACTATAAGATAGTTCATTCGATTACATGAAATCAACTTTAACTTGAGAATATCCGTCAGAAAAAATCATAGCATGTAATTCGTCTTTAAAAAGACAAACACATGACATGATGACAGTAAAATTCTCCTGTTAGTGATTCCATAGTAAATTATGAGGGAAAAACCAGGAAAAAAACCTCTTAATACTATCCCGACATTGTAAGTATTTGTTCGTGAATTTAGTTTACCTTCAACAAACATCAAAATTCTGATTTTATATGTTACGTTATTTAAAAAACATAAATGATGTATCCTCTATATGTTACTGACTTACTAATACTGGTATTTTCTTATTAATAACTTCCTCTTTCAATATTGGTAACCAGATCCTACTACTTCTGCCGAGGAATTTGCGACACAATTGGCCTCATTTAGCATAATTAGAGCCGCTTCTTTGATTTTTCTTTTTTACCATCCGTTTCTTTTAGGACTACATTTGAATTATTCCATTGAACCCTATGTTCATTATCCCATGCGTGTTTACATATTTGAGATCTATCAAATTCTCTATTTTTAATATAAGATTGATATTCACTTATTCAATATTTATTATATTGAAGGTATTTTATAAAATGCAATTCTTTGTCCTTTCTTGTTCATTGTTAGGTTTGGTTTTGAACAAAATAGATCTCAACGTGTTTCTTGTTTTGAATGTTGTTGAAATGTTGAATTTATTTCCTATCCTTTTAAGTTTTTCTGATAATCCTTTTATGTATGGTATTGTTATTTTCCTCATATTATTCCTTGTGTATTCTGTAGGATCTCGTTCTATTAAAAATCTGTTTTATTAAAAAATGATTATCCTTTATCGTTTATAAATAAGGAATTTTCAACAATCGATCGAATAGAACAGAACAACTTAGAAACGTATTTTTATCTTTAATTGTGGCTTATTCCCAGTTTAATAGTAATTAATTTACAATGCCACAAGAAAATAGCTTCAGAAGAATACTAACAGGACTCGTTGGAAAAGGGAGGAGACGGGGACTTTTGTTATTAAGCAGTTCAAGACCTGTTCGAGGCCTGATCAAAACCTGTTCGAGAGCTGATCAAGACCTGTTCGAGACCTGTTTTAGACCTGTTCGAGACCTTTTGGATGTTTCTTCGTTTCGTTATAAGTTGTCTTTTCAAATCTTTATTCATTGTAAAATGTAGGGATACGATCAATCTTTAAACACCTTTAGATCAGGTCTTGATCAGGTCTCGAACAGGTCTTGATCAGGTCTCAAACAGGTCTCGAACTGTTTAATAACAAAAGTTCCCGTCCCCTCCCCTTTCCAACGAGAGTTCTTATGTCATTATCCGATAAGCCGTCGTGCCTCCACCACAAAATGAGCCAAAAATGAGTGTAATGGACCTTAGAATTTCTTATGGAGATTTACATAGGAAAATGACCTGTTTTGTACTCGTAGCCGTGCTGCCCTTTTACTGACGCTGCCCTGTCAGTACTGCTGTTTTGATATTATTCCATTTGCTCTCTATGGAGTGCAGTTCTAGCGTCCTTAACTCATTTACAACTTCTTCTTCGAACTTCTCTTTATATTTCTGAATCTTCAGTTTTTCCAGGTCCAGTTTGTTTGTTCTTTGTTGTGTTTCGTTTCTTTCTTTGTTAACTCTGCATCCAAATTTGGTTTGGAGTAAAAGATGGTCTGATCCACAGGGTGCTCCTCGTCGTGTTGTCACATCTGAGATACTAGTGGCTGCCCTTTGTCTATCAGCACAGAGTCGATTTGATTGATTGTAGCTCCATCTGGTGAAATCCATGTCATTTTGTGTACGTCTTTATTTGGGAAGCATGTGAAACTTTCAACCATGTTTTTACTGGTGGCAAAATTTATCAAAAAATCCCCATTCTCGCTTGTTTCATTGTGCAATGGGTGTTTTCCTGTTGTGCCATAGAACTGCAGCTCCTTGCCTATTTTAGCATTCATATCACCCATTATAATCTTGATGTCATTTTTGGCGCATTGTCATATACTATCTCCAGCTGTTGGTAGAAGCTTTCCTTTGTATGTTGTTCTTGTTCTTCTGTTGCAACTCTACATTCCTTGCTTCCTTGTTTCTTCCCAATATATAGAATTGTGTGCGTTTTAGTGTCCCTGATACTTTTTCCCAGCCGTGTTGTCTCCTGAAGAGCAAATCATGATCTTATATCTTTTTAGTTCTTGCAGGAATGCGATTGGTTTATTTAGTGTCCTCACATTCCAGTTTCCAAATATATAGTCCATGTTTCGTAGCTTGAATCGTTTCCGAAAGTTCTGTCCTATATTCCGAGGCAAATGTTAAGGTTTCGTAACAGTATGTTTTTTTCTAAAGAAAACTAGAGAGGCACTATTCTGTATGCGCGTTGTATTACAAAAAAGTTGTGAATTCCGAAAGTATGTTTATGTTTGTTTCATCGACTTCGAGAAAGCGTTCGACAGAGTACAACACGATACACTTTTCGGTTGCCTACGGGCAGCAGGACTTGACCACTACGATATAAGACTGCTGAAAAACTTATATTACAATCAAGTAGCCTCTATCCAAATTGGAGACAGTCTGACTGAAAAACTATCCATCAAACGTGGAGTACGGCAGGGTTGTGTTTTGTCAACCACTCTTTTTAATCTGTACTCTGAAGAAATCTTTAAGGAGGCTTTGGAGGACAGACAAGAGGGAGTAAGACTAGGTGGAGAAGTAATCAACAATATTAGATACGCTGACGATACAGCCATTCTTGCAGAAAATTTACAAGATCTCCAAACATTATTAAATCTAGTCAGTGAAGCAAGCTATCGGAGAGGCCTTAAAATCAACATTTCAAAGACAAAGTGGATGGCAGTTGGAAAGATCAATATAGATCAAGGTCTGATTTCTCTTAATGGAGAAGAGATCGAAAGGGTAAATCATTTCAAATACCTTGGCAGCTGGTTAAATGTAAATTGTGACTCTGATGAAGAGATAATAACCAGGATCGAAATATCACGTAAGGCTTTTGTGACCTGGAAACCAGTTTTATGCAACAGAAACCTATCGATGAATATTCGTAAGAAGGTCCTGAAATGTTATGTGTGGTCCATCCTATTGTATGGTTGTGAGACATGGACGTTAAAAACCACAATGCTAAACAAGTTAGAAGCATTCGAATTGTGGTGCTATAGACGAATCCTAAAGATATCGTGGGTTTCGCACATTTCCAATGAAGATGTTCTTCAAATGATCAATTCAGAACGTCTGCTCATAAACACCATAAAGAGGAGAAAAACAGAATACTTCGGCCATATAATTAGAGGACCTAAATACCATCTACTTCGCCTTATAATACAAGGAAAAGTGGAAGGAAAGAGATGGATTGGTCGAAAGAAACTTTCATGGCTGAGTAATATTAGTACATGGTGTGGTTCCACAGTAGAAGAATTATTTCACGCAGCAGCCGACAGAGAAAGGTTTCAGGAAATTGTAAACATGATGACTGCCAACGTCTGAATACGGACACGACACCCAAAGAAGAATGTTTTTTTTCGGGAGTGGGTTATCAGCCCACTGCCCAACCTTCCTCCTTTACCAGGACTTAGGACCGGCAGTGGTGACTCCTGAGCTACTCGATCCACCCATTTGTCACCACAAGCGGAGAAGCTCCACTGCATTTGTTAAAATATCCCATTTTCTCATCGCTGTTTTACCGCCCTTTTCAGAAAAATGTAAAGAAGCCGTGTAATAGGACACCAAACCATCACTGAGGTAGGAAAATGTACTCGTTTGATCCTTGGCACCAGTTTGCGGAGTTCCTTGAATGATCGTGCATAAATTATATAGTTTTGCTTATTGAAAGTTTTCTCCAGACTATTTTTTTTACCTGTAAAGAGGATTTCTTTCGTACTTTGACAACAAGCGTACTCATTTTTTTTCCTATTTTTTTTTAATGCAACGATAAGGCGTTGTCTTGTTTGTTGATTGAAAACCCCAAGTCCCAAGTCTTGTTTGATAATGTAACTAATGCTTCCGGGCAAAATTTCCCGTTCCAAAATAGCTTGCAAAACTAGTATTGGCGCCCTTCGGTTTTTTTTTTAATTCGATTATAGTTATTTAATCTTTTGGCAACTTTTTTGTTATGTTAATTGAATGCAACACCTCAATGTTCTTTTAACACGTTAACTGCTAATCTATTATGAATAGACTTTTAACGAGCACCTCTTACTTTTTTTGATACATAATTTGAACGTACTATGAACTTAAGCTGCTATTACACTTCTATAAATAGTTATGACAGGACTATGTATTTATTGGTGCATCTCTAAGTTTGTTTATCTTAAGAATTCCTAGGCTGAAGCATCCTACTTGTAGTCTTTTTTTCCTTCCCTGCGTTGACATTAAAATCCCTCAAATTCACATTTGGTTTTCACTCGCCTATGCTTGTACAATACTTACAAACACGTTTAGCCTTAAATTTTAGGCTACTATCTTATATTAATATGTAGAAGATATCATCTGATTAGTATTCATAAAAATATATTTTTTTGAAAATAGCTCAGAACAATATAAAAATATAATCGTGTATTTTTGTTATAGGGTCCAGATTTGATTCGAGTGTCCAGATTTTTCAATCAAGCAAAAGAAGGCAAATTCATCAGCTACGTATATTCAGATGCAAAAACACTATACGAGTCATTCAGACGAGGATCCAAAGTATCAAGTAAGTATTCGTAATAAAAATAATGACGTCTTCATGGTTCACAAAAAAATTCTTAATCGTCATCGCCTATTTTCTGGCCAATGGATACTGACATATTAGCCTCGCCATATGTATTAATTATCTCACCAGTTGCTGTTCTAAGCTTTACTGTTGCAGGCGATAATTTAAGATGGTCTCGTACTACTTCTGGCCGTGCTATAGTTCTTGTTGCACCTGTATCTACCAAAAACGATATACATTTATTATTAATACGACCCTCGATGTACAAGCTATGAATTCCACCGGAGGACGTAATGTTCACAGTTACTATGGGGGCTGTGTTTCTCGAGGTCGGCAGTTGCCCCTTAATGTCGACCCGTTCTAGTTTTCCGACTGTTGTATCACTTTCTTGCAATTACGGCGAATGTGACCTACGTCACCACAATTCCAACATCTGGGCTCGCGTCTCTTCGGCATCGTGTTATGAACTATTTTTCGTACCATTTCTTCTAGACGTTCATCGTTTGGTTCGTCGCCTTCTTCAATGGTTCTTACTCGATGGCTCCGTGAAGTTTGACTAGCTGTTTCATGTTCTAAGGCAATAGCGAGCGCTTCATCTAGAACTTTCGGTCTTGCTAGTCGTAAAGCTTTCTGTAATTCACTTTCTTTTAACCCATTGACGAAGGTATCTACGGCAATTTCTTCCAAAACGTTGTCTGGTACCTCCGGATAAGCCAACCGCACTATACGAGCAACATCTGCTTCAAACTCTTGCAAATTCTCACTTGCTCGTTGAGTTCTACTTCTTAGTTGCGCCTTGTAGACTTGTTGTAGATGGCATCTCCGTAACGTTTGTCTAGTCGAGTAAACAAGGTCTGGTAACATTTTTCTTGACCCTTAGGAAGCGATCTTAGGATATCTGAAGCATCACCTCGTAAAGCAGCAGTCAAGGAAACAGCCTTTTCTTGTTCTATCCAATGATTGGCTGTCGCAATAGCTTCAAATTGTCTAAGGTATATGGACCAAGAGGATTTTCCATCAAATGGTGGCAATTTGAATCTCATATGATGTGTCATTTCGTGTCTAGGTGATTCTTCTTTCACTACCGGTTCTAAGGCTACCGTTATAATTGGTGGTAGCATTTTTGTGTTAGTTATCATGGTCTGTAATTGTTTGATCTTCTCTTCTACGTTGTTTACATTTTTCTGCATCTGATCGAATGTTTTAGAGACTTCTTAAAATTTCTCATTATTCTTTTTAGAAGTTTCTTCCATCATTTAAGAAACATTTTCAAATTTCTCATCGAATCTTTTTGACACATTTTCTAGTTTCTGGTCGTTTTGTCTAGCTACTTCTTTAATAATTTGAGACGTTTCCAAGTTTTTTATCATTTTTTCTGGAACTCTCTTCGATCTCCATTAAAAATGCTTCTTCTGCTGATTGAAAATGAAATGTCTCTGGGTCATCTTCATTCTTGTTAAGAAGAGTCTTAAGTCGTTCTTGGAGTATCTTCTTGGACCCGCTGCAGTCTTCATCGCGTTCTTCTAGTTACTTACGCAACTGTTTTACTGAAAGTTGTACTAGCAGCATTTTTGGTCAGGCACACACGTACTTTTTAAATGTTCTTTCGTACAACGATAACTACTGAACTACGCGGATGTTCCCGACGAACAATACTTTTCAAAAGTTTAAAAGTCTTTTTTTTTAATCACTGCTGCATTTATTTTCAAATCTCACACCGGACACCAACTGTAGCGAGTTTAAATAAAACGAGCGGTTCGAATTTATATAAATATATTTATTTATAACTTTACAGTTCGATACTATCTTATCAACTAAACTTAACTCCTAATTTCGTTACATATATATATACCAAAGTATTATGTTCGAGAATATTCAGGAGTAGTCCCACCTCTAATTCGTTATTTGACGGGTGGAATTTTACAGCGCTCGATATATCGCCGAAACTTCTCGGTGCTTCGAGATGCGACCGTTAGGCGGGCCACGCTGAATGCATGTTCGTAACAATATATATATATATATATATATATATATATATATATATATATATATATATATATATATAATATATATATATATGTTTTTACGAAAATATCAGACAATCAAGAAGTACATTTCTATTATTTGTTCTTTCTGTACGATTATAAAATCACAGTTGAATACATGTTCTTCATGTTGTTGAGGTTAAATACACGTTGAATTCTTCTGTATTTTAATAATCGATATATGTAAAACTGACATCTCTGTTAAGAGCACTATGTTTAGTTAGACGTTTCTTAAAACTTCAACCTGTCTGACCTGCCTACATATTTTTTACAAACAAATTGATATATTATACTTGAATGATAGATTTTATTATCTTTACCTTTGATTTTGGTATATTTGTTAAATTAATTTATGAATTGTTGATTTTTGAGCTGTTTTGTATATTATTTGGTAAATAAGTTTGTTGCTGTATTAATAGACAGAAGACAGATTATGTCTTCTTTCTCTATCTTTCAGTGTCTTGTACCTATGTCTATCAGTGTCTTGTTTATGACAAAAACCACTTAAGCATAATTGTAGATCATATAAATGATTTGTATTGCATTAGTGGCATTAGTTTGTTATGACATATTTAAAGAATATTGATATTTAATTGGATAACTTTACAGAGGAATTAATTCATTAAACACAGCACTAAAATTATTAACCAAAGTGATAACAAATAAACTGAATGAAATTATAAAACTATCAGAAGAACAACAACGTTTTAGGTCGGAAAGATCATGCACCGACGCTATATTTATAATGAGGCAAGTGCAAGAGAAATCATTAGAATACAACAAACCGACATATCTAATTTCACCAAAAAAGACAAAATTCATGGTTTCAACAGCTAATTTACTAAGCTGTAAATTGGAGTTGGAAGGTCAGATAATAGTGATGGAAAGTCAAACAAGTGATGGAGTTTAAATATCTAGGCATCACATTATCTAGCTATGGAAAGCTCGAAACTGAAGTGGAGGATCAAGTGAATAGAGCAAACAGAGCCACAGGCTGCCTGAATGAAACAATATGGAGAAATAAAAATATCGAGAAAGAAATGAAAGGCAGAATTTACAAAACAGTCATCAAGAACTGTGTGAGAATAGAAGAGTAGAATGGAACGAGCATATAAGCCGAATGACCAAATAAAGTAGTAAAGACGGCAAGAGACGGTTACCCAATAGGAAGATGATTAGTAGAACGACCACTAAAACGATGGAATGACAACTTACTGGAGGCACATTGAAAAAGAGACAGAGTTATGTCTACATAAAAAGAAGAAGAAGAACTTGATAGTGGAAGCTCATAATTTCGTTCTTTTATTCTTCCTTAATTTTATTCACTTCTTCTTCTTACGGTGCCTTATCCTTAAGGACGTTGGCCATTACATTTGCCCATTTAATCTTATTTGTAGCAGCCCTGAATAGTTCTATGGAGGTCATGTTCGTCCATTGCCGTAGGTTTTTAAGCCAGGAGTTGCGTCTTCTTCCTGGTTCTCTTTTGCTATTGACTTTGCCTTCGATTATAAGTTGGAGCAGTTCATACTTCTGATTTCTTATGATGTGACCAAAATATTGTGTTTTCCGTTCTTTTATTATAAGTATAAGCTCTCTTTCTTATTATTATTATTATTATTCATCCTCCGCAAGACTTCCGCATTTATCGTAAGGCTCATGTAGGATATTCTGAGCATTTTACGGTAACACCAGAGTTCGAATGCTTGGATTCTTTTTTGTGTTGCTTCTGTGATTGTCCAGGCTTCAACACCATAGAGCAAGGTGGAGAAAATATAGCACTTAAGTATTCTAGTTCTCAATGAGATGCCCAGCTGGCGGTTGCATAGAACTTTTTGCATTTTGTAAAACATTGTACGTGTCTTTTCCAGGCGTATTCTTATCTCTAGTGAGTGGTCCCAAGTATTATTATTCACTAATTTTTTTTAATAATAAAGATGTATTAAATTTTGACATACTGTCTACAAATCAATAGATGTTATTAAGTTTTAAACCTACATGTTTTCTGTTGCTATTTTGTTCATGATCATCGTCGGTCCAGTCACATGCCAAGATATTGAAGACGATTTTATCCTATGATTCATTCTCTTAAGTATATGTGATCATTTTATTCTGAATATATTTATTTCTATATTCTGTAATGTTGTTAACATGATGTCCACAATTTATTTAATTCGCAACTGTCGCTAAAAATAGCTACGAGAGTTCAAAAGACTGCCACCTACAAATTTGTTGCTTGTCAAAACACAGGAATTATTTTAATCTAACAGTTCATAAAACCACATCCATACTGTGTCTTGATTTCTGCAGTTTTAATAGTGTAATAAAGATCTTTGTTCGTTCACTCGTAAACTTCTGTAATTACTTGAGTATAAAAAAAAATTACGTTTGGTTTTCAAATTCTTCTAAGTTTTAATTTTGTTGACGTTATCTTATTCCAATGGACAAAATTTGTTTGAGGCGACATTTTACAACGTTCTTCTTAGCTTATCTTCTTTATTTTCTTTTATCATCAGCTATAATATTTTATAATATTTGTTACGAATATCGTAGGTACATCAATATTTAAATTTGCATCAATTTGTTTTATGTTACATTTGAGCGAAAACTATTTTTTTTTTACATTTATAAAACAGCATTCTTCTACTACGAGATTGCTTGGATTTCGATCTATAATATTCTCCTTCCTAAGATTTGATTTGATCCAATCTAATGTAGAAATATGAATTCTACATATTTCACATAATTCTACATTATTAGCACGTTGAAAACATTACATTCATTCTTGCTTTTCTAAAAGTTTTCTATTACTGGCCTGCGTCGCGTTGTTCTTCATTAACTTCTTCCCCCACTTCATTATTAGGTTCATCGATTTCCTCTTTAAGGTATGGCAAAGGTCCAATATTATCTTCAACGTCATCTACGCTGTTTAGATCCAAAAAAATCCATCGTGTCTTG